CAGCATGGCGGGGGCCAACACGTACCTCACACCACCTGGGACACAGGGCTTTGCCCCCCACTACGATGACATCGAGGCCTTCGTGCTGCAGCTGGAGGGGAAGAAGCACTGGCGCGTCTACAGCCCCCGCACGGATGCCGAGGTGCTGCCCCGTTTCTCCAGTGCAAACCTCACGCAGGCGGAGCTCGGCGAGCCCGTGCTGGAGACGGTGCTGGAGGCCGGGGACCTGCTGTACTTCCCCCGCGGCTTTATCCACCAGGGCGACTGTCTGCCTGACGCGCACTCACTCCACATCACGGTGTCTTCCTACCAGAGGAACTCCTGGGGGGACCTCCTGGAGAAGCTCCTCCCGGCTGCGCTGCAGATGGCCCTGGAGGAGGATGTGGAGTTTCGGCAAGGGCTTCCCATGGACTACCTGAGGTACATGGGGGTCTCCAACTCAGACGCAGTGAACGCTCGCCGAACGGCCTTTATGGAGAAGGTGCAGAGCCTGATAAAGAAACTCGTTGACTATGCACCCATTGATGCCGCTGTGGATCAGAGAGCCAAGTCGTTTCTTCATGACTGTCTCCCCCCAGTGCTTACGCAAAGTGAAAAGGCGCAGAGTGTGTACGGCTTCCCAGCCCGGTGGCAAGATGGAAGGCCCCGCAATGTCGACATACTGATAACAAAAGACACAGAAGTACGTCTCCTCCGCCATGGCATCATTAGATTGTGTAATGAAGAAGAAGGTATGATGCTGTATTACACAACAGAAAATTCAAGAGTGTACCACCAGGAAGAACCTAAGTTTCTTGAGATAGATCCCGAGCATACAGACAGTATCGAATTTCTCCTGTCTTCCTATCCAAACCACGTCAGTGTGGATGCCCTTCCATGCGAAACCTTGGAGGACAAGATTTCTCTAGCCACACTCCTGTTTGAGAAGGGCATTCTGACTACAAAGAAGCCTCTGATGCAAGTGTAACTCTTATTTTTTTAACAAAATAAACATACGTTTGTTTAGAAAGTGTTCTGTCTTGTTCTCCCCTTACACCTGCCAGGTGTGACTCAGCAGTCAGGGTCACAGTATCTCATCTGGGGGCAGAAGATCAGATTTCTCTACCCACATCTGGTGTGGGTAGAGAAATCAAATGTTCTGATTAAAACAGGTGTCCCTCTAGGAGCAATTCTGCATGGCTGAGTGACTAAAGAAGGCAAGTGCTTCATTTTTTATTTTTTCCTTTCACCAGGCATGTTACTACACCCTAGATAAATTCAGGAAGCTAGTGAACTTTCTTGCAGTCTGTAAATCATCTGTGTGTTCAGACAGTGTTTTAAAGTGGCCTGCTCTACTGTGGGAAGCGTTCTCATTACTCACAGGCAGATGTGATGGTCACTGTTCTGCATGCCTGGGCTGTGCCGTGCTGTGCATACAGCATGGCCTTCAGGCCTGTGCTGTGCTGCAAAGATCCCTCGGCCAAGGGAAAAAGCCAGCCAATTCTTCCTAAAAGCAGAGCTCGCAGGCAGCTCCCACTCGGTGCCCGTGATCATGCCACCTGCGTGGCCCTGCCCTTCCTGAATAGTGCAGTAAGGCGTTCTCATGCAAACGTGAGCTGCTGCATTTTAAATGCTTCAGGTTCTGTTTCTTCTTCAGTCTGATAATCGCAAGCTGTCATGGTGATAGAATAACCCACTCCCCTGGTTTTCCCACAGCAGCCCTTTGCAAGGCAAATGGGGCACCCTTTAATATGGGGGGTTTCATGCTGGGTGCAAAAATGCCATACCAGGATCTAACAAGTTATATGAATACATGCCTGGCCATGTGGCCATGTCCCATAAATACCGACAAGCATCAGATATACTTTTCCACCTTTAATAGGGGGGGTTTCATGCTGGGTGCAAAAAGTGCCATACCAGGACCTAACAAGTTATATGAATACATGCCTGGCCATGTGGCCATGTCCCATAAATACCGACAAGCATCAGATATACTTTTCCACAATGCTGTTTTATTGTCCCAGTCAGCAGGTGAGGGATATTCCATCTTTAAAGCCTCCTGAAGCCATACCCACAAGGAGCTGGCTGCATTACCCTGTGCTCCTCTGAGCTGCTGGATCACCTGGGTTCTGTGAGATGGCACCCAAGCACTCTAATTGTTTAGGATTTAAGTATACACTACTCCTCCAAGTCCCATACTTGCAACAGCCAGTGCGCCAGCCTTTGCCCCACTTTTGCCCATGTGCTTTTGGTAAATCTTGAAACTTGGGCTGTGTGAAATTGCACACCGTGAGAGAGGGACCCCTGGGGGCCCCTTTGATTTGTAAATCGCTACTGACCGGACAGAAATGCTGTTGCCACAGTCACCCTCTGACCCCTCTGTCTACTCCTCCTCATCAGAGGAGCAGCATTCCTCGTCCCACCATTTGTCCCCCTGGCAAACAGCTCATGCCTCAGCGGTGCCCTTCCTGGGCTGCTCCATGTGTCCCCCTTGCACCGCGGGCACCTGCACCACAGGCACTTGCAGCACCAGTCGGTGGCTGTGACACAGACGCTTGCACCGCGGGCAGCTGTATGGCAGGCGCCTGTGCCACGGGCTTGCTGCTTGGGGCTGTGGCGCAGAGCTGCACTAGGAGCTCAGGCAGGTCTTGCTGCGTTGGCTGTAAACACCCCCATGTCTCTTTCAACCATGCTAATAACAACCAAAGACAGCACAAATTCTCCTTAGCTTTTCCTTTTCCTGGCCCCTGTTTTCTAAGGCAGCAGAATACTTCAGCTGGGGTGCGGTATTTTGATAATTCCTCCTCTAAATACACTGGGAAAACTTCCTGGGCTAAACACTTTGCAAATACCCCTCACGGATTTGTGTGGGGCCAGCCAGGCAGTTTCTCTTTTCTTTATTCTTTCTCCAGAAAGGCATTTCTCAGTGAGACCTGCTGACTGTGCCAAATGTTTTGCATTTTTGCACTAGGAGGTGCTGGTCCACTATGATCCTGGTAAGAAATGCACTCGCATTCTGTAAAGTATCATTAAAAATGCCACTTATTAGGGCTGACACTCTAAGAGAATAGCATACCTAATCTTACACTCCTTTAGAAGCCAGGAACCCTGAGCAGTGTAGCACGTAACAGGAGTCCGACACACACGCAGCACGCCATGCAGACATGATCCATAGCAGAGTATCTTTCAAGGTATTGTAAGATTTTTATGCAAGGAAACAGCTCAATTTACCATGTCTACAGTCAAACAGAAACAATGTTCACGTGAGAATGTTTTGCTGTACTGTTGTAAAAAGGCAAGGCCGTGCAGGTGTGCAGGTGGCTGAATCGCAGCTACTGGGTGCGAGCTGCCTGTCGGCTCCTCTTCCTGCGGCCAGAGGCCATGCTGTACGTGCAGCAGGGCACAGCGCAGGGCTGCGCATGCTCGAGTTAACTCTGCTGTGGGTCACTGACTGCCCCATGTACAACGGTCTTCTCTTCAGGATCACTACGCTGACTTCCACAGAGAAAAACACTGAGATGCCTAAATGTGCTGGAGGATTTCAGACCTACTGACAAACTGATCTCTCAGTTTTGGAATAAGAAAGCAATTTATCTGCATCATCCTTTGTTCCCTATATAAAAATAGGAATGTATTTTCCATGCATGTGTGTATTCATAATAATAATAATAATAATATTGAATATGGAATGCATAATAATGCTACAAATACACTTGGAATAGCACTACTTCATCCTTCTCTGATGTCCTCCAGCACTGAAGATCTTAATATTTCATAATTATCAATACTTTTCAATTTGCAACCCAAGGCAAGGAAAAAACCATTACCCTTATTTTACAGACAATGGCTAGCAAGGAAAACTTGGTGAAAAGCAAGTAGCTCTGCCAAAAGCACACTATGTCTTTTCAAAAATTTAGGAAAGAAAGCCATCTGTCTTAATTTAACAACACAGACATTGCTGCCATCACCTCTATGTATTCTGCAATCCCTCAGCATGCTTGAATGTCCCCACCAGTTACCTTCAGCTGCAGTCCAGCTGAGAAGCTGTGCTGGCGTTTCCCTGAGGTGGTGCTGAGTTCAGCAGTAGTTGACCATCCGAGTCTTGAACATAGCATTTGAAGTATTGGGAAGACCTCTCTTCTTGACAAGTACTTCCTCTTCATCACTGGGCGGGCAGATAATTTCTGCAAGGGCAAGTGTTTTGTTAATCAAAATGAAAAAATGTTTGCAATCTCAAAGAAAGTAAATGCTGGACATATTCTCCTCCCCTTTCCACCCTTCATCAGGAGCAAGGAACCAGCTGGCCATCTAAGATGGGGGATGAGGGAGCGCAAGGCTCATTCAGAGGACCAGGATGATGCTTGGCAAGAGATCTAGGCTTTATCCTATCCCACCAGCAAGCACACCCAGGTCTGAAGGACCTGAGTTGACGGATGCTTATTGAATGAATATTGTTCACACCTGCACCAGTATAACCCAAAAAACATGGCTTGATATACTTACAGATGTGAGTAGAATTGGGTTCACACTTTCTGTAATTTCCTTGATCATTTTTGATCAGGCATTGAGAAAAGGGATAGCATTTGAATTGATCTTAATTGAAGAGATCATATGCAATATGCTAATTTATCTCCCTGGTGGCCTTTGAGCTTTAAGTAAATTTCTGTACGCTTCATACAACTGTGGTCTCCCCATGTGTATACCATCTTTAGCCTGTACTTTAAAGCAGCCTCCACCATATGCACCTTTTGGTGCAGAGATTTCACCACATTTACAATTAATGTCTCATCACAAATGGAAACATCTCAGATTGCTGAGCTGCAGAAACTGGTCAATGTGGGGTGTTAGAAAAGGCTGTGGTGCTGGTGTCCCTGGTTAAGAGCTCTCAGGCTGCTGGGAGAGAAATCTCTCAGGAAGAGCTGTGTGTTCTGTGCATTGGCTTCACCTCTCCTCTGGAAGGGTGTGCTCTGGCTGGGAACTCCACCTCTGGCCCCAATATGGTCTGCTCATCCAAGAAGCTGTTCTGCAATCTTCTCTCAAAGGAGAGAAGATTTGCTGCTTTGTGTTTGGATTGCAAAATTTATATGAGAGATCAGAACTCATACAAGAGAATTAGTAGCAAACGAAACTCCCAGGCCCTTCCCTACCCGGGATATTTTGTAATCCATGCTCCCAACAGGCCTAGGCCTTGGGGCAACCAACATGGAGGAAGGACCCATGAAGGAATGCCAGACTGGCGCTGGTTTGGCTTCTCCCCGCCTGGGCTGGGGCTCAGCCACACGGCAGGTGCTGTAGGCGGGCAGGAGCCCCTGGG